GGGCGGCAGATGTGTACGGGGAGGGCGGTACATGTGTACGGGGAGGGTGGCAGATGTGTATGGGGAGGGTGGCAGATGTGTACGGGGAGGGTGGCAGATGTGTACGGGGAGGGTGGTACATGTGTATGGGGAGGGTCGATGTGTACGGGGAAGGTGGCAGATGTGTACGGGGAGGGTGGCAGATGTGTATGGGGAAGGTGGCAGATGCCTGCAGGAAGGAATGGGAGGGTCCCATGCCCTACCCCCCAGCTCCATCACCTGTGGCACTATCTCCCTGGCAACCTCGAGGGCCCTGTGGTAGGCAGCGGTGCCCTCCTGGTTCTGAGGCACTGCATGGTTCACCAGCCCGATGCTTTTCGCTTCTTCCCCATTGATTCGGCGCCCGGTGAAGATGAGCTCCTTGGCCAGGCTCACTCCCACACACCGAGGCAGGCGCTGTGTCCCTCCTGTAAGAGGATGGGAGTGTTGGCCCAGGCAGGGAGGTAGAGGGGCGATAGGCCTTCATGGGCATCAATCACGGTCAGAGTACAAGGCCAAAAGCCAATCAGAAGGGGGAAGGGGATAATGACAGGCTTCCCAGAGGAGGCACATTCTAAGTCCTCCCCTTTCCTCTAAGGCGAGGTCCCACCCTTCCTCCCGATGCCAAACATCAGAGCACAAGACTGGAGCAGGTGCCAAACACCTAACCAAAGACTGCCTGATTCAGGGTAGGGGAATGGCAGAAACAGAGGGAGAATGTGGCCACCCCCTGGAGTCATGGAGATGGGGTTGGGAAGGCTTGGGGCCAAAAGTACCTGCCCCTGGAAGGAGTCCTCGACTTGTTTCTATCAGTCCCATGATGGCAGAAGAAGCTGTTTAAACAGGAGACATTGTGAAGGTCTCCTCCCATCCTCTCCAGGCCTCCTCCCACTTCTGCCCTTCTCCTAAGCCCTTTACCCACCAAAGACTCAAGCTCTCCTGTGTCCTGTGGGACAGTGTGGAGGGAGGCTGCAAAATATGGCAACCCCTCCATCCCAGACACTCTGACATCTCTCTGCCTCCTTTGTCTGTCATTCATCCTCTCCCCCAGCCACCCCACTCCCCCACTCCCAAGGCAAATCTTCCAAAAACCAGTGTCTGTCAGCACAAAAGCCAAACTGTTCAGCCGGGCATCCAAGCACCTCTGCAATGAGAATAATTCACTTTTTTGTAATGCTTTTCAGTTTACAGAGTGCTTGGCTTGGGGACCCTATCATGCAGAGTATGCAAGAATTATTATCTCCAGTTTACAGATCAGGAAACTGAGACTTGTCAGTGACTTGTCCAGGGTCACCCAGCTAAAAAGCAGAAACACAATTTGAATCCAGGTCCCCTGACTCCCAAGTCCAATGATTGAACTGATATTATGAAAAGAGTCCTGGATTTGTAGTTCAAGGTCTTGAATTCAAACCCAGACTCGTTACTTCCTCCTAGCGTGTGCTCTTGGGCAAGATTTCACCTCCCTGGCCCTCAGTCTTCCCATCTATAAAATGAAAGGGGCTTGGATGAGTTGGCCTCCAATGTCTCTTCCTGCTCTCCAATGAGGATCCTATGACCCTATTCTTTCATGAGAACCCTTTAAGAACATTTCTTCGGTGTCCTGGGCTCTGGGGCGGCCGCCAGTCTAGGAAGCAAGGGTCCCCCCTCAGAATCATGTTTTTAAACACATAAAAGACATGGGATGACAAAGGAAGCCAACTGTATTGAACTTTAAGTATCAAAAATACACACACACACAAAAGCAAGACAATGGATGCCCAGTTGGGTCTTTTGTTTGTATCCACAGGGCTCAGCCCAGTGCCTGGTACATAGTAAGTGCTTTAAAAAAGGCTTTTTCATTTATTCATTCCTTTGTTTACTTGTTCATTCATTCATCCATCCATCCATTCCTCACACTGCCTCTCAGCAACCTGACCTTTTCCATCCCCCCCACCACACACACAGTAGCACCAAGGACAGCGCCTTGCACATAGGAGAAAGTGTTTAATACTTTCTTCATGATTCCATGGTCTCTACCATGACCTCTCTCCACTCTGACAAGGCTGGCGTCCTTCTTGGGCCCTGCTTATTCCAACCTCCCTGGCGTGCCTTCCCCTCACCCTCTGATGTTGCTGTACAAAAGACCTGGTCAAATCTCAACTCTTCCATTCACTGGCTATGTGACCCTAAGGAAGTAACCTTTGATGTCTGGGTCTCAGTTAACTCATCTATACAGTGGGGAGAAAGAGAACATGATTTAGAGCCAGAGGACCTGGGGACAAACCCAAGTCACTTCATCCTCCTGGGTCTGAGTTTCCCCTTTGGTAAAATGAGGTGGGTCTAGATGGCCTCTGAAGGCCCTTTCAGCTGTAAATCTAGGACTCCCTGACCCCAGCTCTCCCGGAAAGCCTGCCCATACAAAGCTCTCCTTTCTTCCAAACTTGTTACTCGGGGAAGAGAAAATTCCAGCTTTCTGGGAATCTCTTCCCCTCCCCCCCCCCACTCCCCATCTCACCTCCCTCTCTGATGACAACATACCTGCCACACGGAGATCACAGGCCAAGGCCAGCTCAAGACCCCCACCCAGAGCAAATCCATCGATGGCTGCAATGGTAGGCGCAGGGAATGTGGCTGGGGGGACAAGGAGAGCATGCTAGGATACAGCCTGGAACCCAGGGCCTAGCCAGGGAGATGGGACAGGATTTGATGCTGTCCCTAACAGAAGGACCCAGCCCAAGGATCCCAGGACTCAGTCCAGCACAGCTGGCCTCAGGATAGCACTTGGGAACACTGCTAAGCCTCCCTGGGCCTCAGTTTCCCTGACTCTAGGTAAATTCAGCTGAGTGAAGAAGAGATCAATTACTGATCTAAGGAAATGTTACTTCCTTGTCATCCAGTAAATACCTTGGGAGCTGCCTTCCCCCACTCTCACTCCCAACTGATGGGGTTGGGATCTGGACCCTAGAAAGGAAAAATCCTGGACTTTGCCACATGGCCAAATCTCTGGCCTGTTCGCCTGAGGCTACAATCCCATCAACTGGCCTTTCATTGTGGCTATACCCAATCTCCCAATTCTGTACCCTTAACCTAGCCTAACCCTCCATTGTCTTACTTCCCTATGGCCCCTGGCTACTTCCCACCCTTAACCCTATCTAGACCCCATTCTGGACCTCCCAGTCACTCCCATCAAGATCCTTTCTAGAAATCTCCCACAGTCTTTCTGTATCTAAGGTCTACCTTGTCTCTATTAAGGAGCTCAGATTCTTAAAATCTAGCCACTGCTCACTAATATTCAGACTCCTTAAGAGACTGACCAATATGGCAGATGTTCTAATAAACCTTGGCTGAAAGAAAGCTTGGGTTGAATTCTTTCAGGGAGGATCTGTGTGTCATGATTTTGGGGTTCCAGCATCCCTAAACCTCTAGGCCTCATCAGGAGAGCTTTCTTCAGTTGTCAGTGGAAGAGGGATCAGCCTGGCTCTGCTTAGCCCCAGAACAGTGTGGGAGGGGCAATGAGCTGTCCCCTCAGGAAGTGGGGAGAGGGGCCAGGCAGCTACTTGTTGGTATGTGATCTTGGGGACTCTTCCAGGGTACGAATTGGACCAGAGAGGCTCCTTCTAACTCTCCATTAGTGTGACGCCTAATTGCTCTTCCACATGTCAGCCTTCCAGACACGTGGGAGCACATGGGATGGTAGACTTGGCTGGGCCCTTGGGACCTGCTCCTGCCCCCTCCAGTCCTCCCCTTAGCTTTGGCTCTTACCAATCTGGCTCATCAGACTCCGGAGTTTGTGCACAAAGGCAGCCACCTCGGCCTCACCCATTTGTTCTCTTTCTTTCAGGTCAGCACCTGGGAGAGGCCAGAGCACATTGGGGGGGATCAGGACCAGGCCTCCTTGGCACCTAGAGAGGAGGGAGCCTGGCTAGGGGAGCATCCCTGAGGCTTGGTGGCACTCTGACCATGCCTGGATCAGGGAGGCTGCAAAGGGGCCTATTGGGGTGGGTTGGAGGAGGGGCCTCTGTGATGGCCCAGTTTTTTGGCTCCCCATCTGCTGTCCCACCTCCCACAGGAGGCAGTAGGACACAGTGGAAAGAGTAGTAGATTTGGTGTTGGAGGACCTGGGTTCAAATTCCACCTCATGATCTTATTATGGTGTGACCCCAGACAAGTCACTTCCCTTCCCTGTAAAATGAGGGGGGCTAGCCTCTGAGGTCCCTTTCAGCTCCAGCTCTCAGCTCCTAGGATCCCTGGGGCTCCTTAATCCAACAACGAGATCCAGCAAACACTGAGCAGGAAAGCCAGGGAGCAGGGAGGAGCAGACACCATTCTCAGCCCCTTTCATTGTGTCCCAGACCAGGGAGGCAGCAAGTCCCAGCTGGCCCATGCTGGAGTCCTGACACTCAGTGAAGCTGCTGAAAGCCAGGCCCCAAATTTGGGCTCGCACCCATGCCAGCCTCTGTCCTCCTTGCAAGCAGCCTGGGTGTGTGTGAACAGGAGGGCAGGGTGCTTTGACCCAGACTGCAAGGGACAGGGGGAGCTCTGCCTGGGGGAGGCAGTGATGAAATTGAGGGTGACCTCTCAGGCAGGGAGGAAGTCACCTCTCACAGGGCCAGGGAGGAGCCCAGTCTGGGTTGTGAGACACCCCTCGCTACTGCACCAGGTCACATCAAGTCTGAGGGATACCTGTGGTATCTTCCTAAGAGAACAGAAGCTGCTGAAGGGCAGAGGCCACCTTGGTTTTTGTCCTGTATCACCAGTGCTCAGTACACAGTAGGTGTTTAATAAATGCTTACTGGATTGGATTGGATCTCACTGCCTTCTGCTCTGGTGAGAATCTTGGGGGGGGGCGCGCCAGCAAGGAAGCCAAGGGCATGGGGACCCACACTTGGAGGTGTCCTTGGACGCCACTCACCTGCACAGAATACTCCCTTGATGCCACTCTTAAACACAACAACTCGGATACTCTTGTCGAGGCGAAGCTCATCCAGGGCATCTGACAACTGGAAGAGAGAAACAATCTGGGTAAGAAGCAGGTGAAAAGGACCTGGGCATAGGGGCAGCTAGGTGGCGCAATGGATAGAGCACCAGTCCTGAAATCAGGAGGACCTGAGTTCAAATCCGACCTCAGACCAAACACTTGACACTACTTGCGTGACCCTGGGCAAGTCACTTAACCCCGATTGCCTTAAAAAAAAAAAAAAAGAAAAGGGCCTGGGCACCCCTGCTAGGCCCAGGGAAAGGAGGAGCCAAGGACGGTTGTGGGGGAGGGGGAGAGGGAAGAAGGAATCTGAGTAACTTCTCCTTTTATGCTGTCATTTCTATGTGCACAGTATACAGTAACTGGATCTGCATAGTTATATTCAGATTGTGTTTCCCCCCCCATTTAATCATAAGTACCTAGAGAGCAGGGACTGATTCTGCCTTCTTTTATATCATCCCAGAGCTTAGCACAGTGCCTGGCACCTAGTAAGCTTATCGAGGGGAAGGCAGCTGGGACGGTACAAGAACTTGCTGCCACATCTCGGACCTGAGCCCAGCAGGGCCTGAGAAAACAGAATGCCTGTGTCTAGACTGCACCAGGCCCTGTCTAGAACAGTAGAAGCAGGCAGAACTTTTCTTGAACTGGGAGAAGTCAGAGTCACCTTCAGCACGAAGGAAGGCCCTGAGAACAGAATGCCAGGGAGCATACTATAATGATTCAGGAGGTTTTGTCTTCCAAACACACACGAGGTGTTTCAGACAAACCGACCTCTTCACTGCTTCCAGAACTTGGCATTCCTTCTGCCTTTGTTCTAGTGATGACTGGACCACACTCCCTCCTCACGTTGGCCTCTTTTCCAAGATCAGCCAGTGCCTCTGACATAAGACCTTCCTGGTACCCCCAGTTGTTACTGTTCCCCCTTCTTAAATATTTTTGCCATCATCTGTGTACTTGTTTACCTTCCTAACAGAATGTAAGCCCCTGGAAGGCAAGGAGTTGTTCATTTTATCTTTGTTTCCCCAGGGCCTAGGACAGTCCTTTCTATACAGCAGGGGCTTAATAAATGCTTACCGAACCAAATCAAATTGAACATATTAGGAGTTCTCCAAAGGCTTCCCAATCAGAGTCCCAAGACTGGGCTGGAAGGGATCTCAGAGGGTGAGGACAGTCTAGACCTGGCTGAGGATTTCCTTGGCAACATCTCCAAGTGGCCATCCAGCCTCTGCCCCAAGACCTCCAAAAAGGGGAAAGCCACTATATTCCACTAAGGAAGCAGTCATTCCCCTTTGGGATAATACTACTTCCCCTTCTTTGGGTATCTTTAAGCAGAGGCTGGGTGACCGCTTTTCAGGTCTGTCACAATGGGGATTCCTTTTAGATGTGAGTTGGACTCAAATGGATGCTCTCCAATTCTGGGATTCTACCATTTTTAGAAAGTTTTTCCTGACTTCAAGCCTGAATCTGTCTCTTTATAATTTCCACCCTTTGTGTCCAGTTCTGCCTTCTGGGGCCAAGCAGAGCAGAGCTGATCTCTTCCACCTGACAGCCTTTCAAGTCCTCTCCTAGATTCCTAGGGCCAAAGACACCCTTGGCCAAGGGTGGAGACAGGGAACACCTCTGGGTTCTGTGCGTCCTTTGGTTTCCCTCACTCTGACACCAGTCTGTGGAGTCCATTTCTTGCCTTTCTCTGCAGCAAGTCATAACTGGGCCAGGAGACGCTACTGGGGGCTGTAGGGCCAGGTTCACTCACCTCACTGACAAAGACTTTGCCCAGAGCATTTCGAGCCTGAGGTCTATTCATCAAAATTTCAATGATACCTAGAGAGCCAGGAGAGAAGATGACAGTTATCAACAGTTTTGTAAACAGTAAAAACCTCATATAGAATCATCTGTTACAGTCTTGTTTCAGTGTTTGAATATTTGTATTTGTTGAAGATTACTGTTTATTTAGATTTTGTTCAGTCTAAACCTGTAATTTCACTGGTATAGCTAGAGAACATTCACAACTGTTCCATAACTTGAGTTTCTTGACTGCAGTACTAAAGGGTTTAAGTGATTTGCCTGGGGACATACAGCTAATATGTGAAGAGGATCATAGGATCTGAATAAACATCGAGCAAAGCAGACTAAGAAGATGTGGTTAGACATAGAAGAGGAGAACAAGGCAAGATCAGTGTCACAAAGAGAGAAAGACTTCCAGAGAAAGGAGTTATGCCCTATACTATACTCATATCTCAATACTCATGTATTTTAAGTTTGAACCCACTCTTCCCAGACACCTTGTATGTATAAGGAGAAAGTGCGTCTTTGGTTTGAGGGGAGTGTTTGTATCAAATATTCTTGCTATGCCTTCTCTCTTTTCTAAAAGCTTATGGAATTTAATTGGTTGAATAACAGAGAGCACACCAGTGGGGCCTCATGATCAGTAGTACTAGAAACCCCAGACCTTTAGAACCCTGAAGGGAGCAAACAGTGAGCTCACCTCTGAGGACTCAAACTAGCAACGTGAACTCAAGTTGAAGAGAAACAACAATAATAGCTAGCGTTTATATAGCCCTTTAAGGTTTGAAAAACACTTTACATATGTATCTTATTTGAGCCTCATGACAATCTTGTGAAGTAGGAGCCATTATTATCCCCTTTTATAGGTGAGGAAACTGAGGCTGACAAAGGATCAGAGGCTCAAAAGACCATAGACCTGAAGCTGCAAAGTGCAGTGGATAAAAAACTGGGCTTGAAATCAAGAAGATCTGAATTCAAATCTAGCCTCAGACCCTTACTAGCTATAGGACTCTGGGTAAGTCACTTCACCTCTCAGTCTACTTCCATTTTCTTATCTGCAAAATGGGGATAATAGGAGCACCTACCTCTCAGGGTGGTAGTGAGGATCAAATAAGATCATAATTGTAAGGTGCTTAGCACAGTGCCTAGCATGCAGTGAGCAGTAAGTAGCCGGGTGCTACATAAATGCTTCTTCCCTTCCCTCCCCCTCCCTCTTCTCAGAATAATATTTATAAAGTAAACCAACTGTATTGAAATAGTTACCAAAATATTTTTTAAAATATGGAACCCCTGAAATCTATCTATGGATAGATTTGGAATCTATCCCAAGGGCCCTCCTATGTCCTTGGACCCCAGGTTAAGAATCCTTGCTGAAGACAGTTTACCGAGACTGTAGCATTGGGGACCTGACGAAGTCTCCCTTGCTATTCTTGGAGACAAAGAAGTGAGATGTGGGCTAGAAGACAGTATATACAGTTGGATGGATTTAGGAAATGGCTGAATGACCAGGCCCAAAGAGGAGTCTCTTTAATAGGCCAATGGCCTTACCCCCATCCTAGCCACCCTCTTTTGGGCACTTATCAATGTCTTCCCTAAATGGTGGTGCCCTGGACTGGATACATTGGTACAGATGAGCTCTGACCAGCGTCACAGGAGAGTTAGTGCCTGTCTGGGTTCCTGTAGTAGGTAACTGCTACCAAACATTTATTTACCACAATTCAGAAACGATGGAGGCAAAAATCCAGCTCTTATTATTACACTCAAGCATAGGTTTGGGCCTTAGAGAAAACCGAACAATCATCAGGATTCTAACAAGGTTTCTTAAAGGAAAAATGCAGTCAGAGACAAAATTCATTTCCATATATTGCAATCTTGACCATTCTTCTTGGGCCATCAAAGTTATAGAACTTGATCCATAATCCCAAGCTTCCTTCAATGTCATGAAAGCTGGACCAATTCTGTTAGACAGATCGACAATCTCACAGGTCCCCTACGGAAGCAGGTTTGGTCAGACAATAGGCAAACTAAACCAGGTTACAGGCTAAACAGATATTTAGAGAATTCACAATTAGGTTGATGGAGGAGGAGTCAGGAGCCTTGAGATGCTCCCACTGTTTTTTATGGAAGGAATACTTAAGATTCTTAAGTGAATTTTTATATCCCCCAGGGCAAGTTTTGGTCAGGTGAGGTAAATGTTAGCTAAAAGTTGCAAGAAAATCTAACACTCCTGTAACACCAAGGGGGAGTATAGTGGGCCAGATGGGGTTGGGATCTAGACCCCAGAAAGGAAAATCCCTGGCCTTTGCCCCAAGGCTATAATCCCATCAACTGGCCTTTCATTGTGGCTACACCCAATCTTCCAATTCTTGGTTACCTTTAACCTAGCCTTGCCCTCTATTGTCTTACCTCCCTATTGCCCCTGGCCACTTCCCACCCTTAATCCTAGCTAGGCTCCATTCTCCGTTGGCCACGTGAACCAGGTCCCTGGCATTCTATTACCTCACAGTCCCATCCCCCACCCCCCCAGGATTTGACCACTCCTAGATTTCTTCCACAGTCCTTCCGTATATAAGGTCCATTTTGTCTCCATTAAGGTGCTCAGATTCTTATAATCTAGTTACTGCTGCAAGCTCAAAGATACTCAGATTCCTTAAGAGTCTGGCTAATATGGCGGATCTTTCATAAACCTTGTCTTTGGCTGAAAAGAAGGCTTGGGTTGAATTCTTTTGGGCAGGATCCATGTGTTCTGATTCTGGGGTCCCAGCACCCCTGAACCTCAATAGGACCACCATGTTGCTGTAGTCATGCCCAACTCTCTGTGACCCCTTTTGGAGTTTTCTTGGCAAAGGTACTAGAGTGGTTTTCCAGATCATTTTACAGATGAAGAAACTGAGGTAAACAGGGTGAAGTGACTTGCCCACGGTCACACAGCAAGTTTCTGAGGCCAGATTTGAACACAGGGCTTTGTGACTCCTGGTCCAGTGCTCTACCCACTGTATCACCTAGCTGCTCCAGGACCATCATCACATATTCTTGGAAACTCTGTCCCTCTGAATGCAGTCGAGATCACATTAGCTTTCTTGCTGCCACATTTGTTTGACTCATAGTTGAGCTTGCAGTCCACCAAGATTACCAGATCCTTTTCAGACAAATTGGTATTCAGTTACACCTCCCCTATCACATACCTATGGTCTATTTTTTGTACCAAAGTATAATACTTTGCAACTTTCCCTGCTGTAAATGATATCAGAATATTATTAATTTCCTCTGATGGGTCCTCTCAGCCGGTCCCTCCATTTCTTAGCTCGGGGCATTTTCTCTATCTGTCCCCGGCCCCTCTGCCTCCTGACTTTTCAGATTTGCTTTAAGGCCCAACTAAAATCTCATCTTCCATAGGAAGCCTTCGCCAACCCCTCTTAATACTGGAGCCTTCTCTCTTTTAATTGTTTACTATTTTGCATGTATATAGTTCATTTGTACTCTTTCTGATGGCTTCTTGTCTCTCCCATTGGACTGTAAGCTCCCTGAGGGCAGGGACTGTCTTTTGCCTCTTTTTTTATCCCCAGCACTTAGCACAGTGCCTGGCACAGAGTAGGCATTTAATAAATATTTATGGACTTCTTATAGACTGACAGTGCCCAATCCAGAGCTCGGTAAAAAATTCTCAATGCCCCCTCCCCCCTCTCCTACCCAAAGTCAACAAGAGGCCTGGTGGCTCAATCTCCATAGTCTGGCCCAACCCAACCTACCATGCCTTAACTTCTCCTTATAAAGTACCCTTCTCTCTAGCCCAACTAACTTCCCTCACAGTCCAACCTCTCTGGGCCTCACCAGTAATCAGGAGATGCCACAGGACACCTGGAAAGGGGTCACCAGGCCCAGGGCAGCCACAATAAAATCTGCTTAATCAATCAATCAGCATCTATTAGGTGCCTACTGGGTACAATTCAAAGAATTCCATGATCATCAGATTTAAAGCTGGAAGAAGTGGAGGGGGGTAGTGATGTGGATATTGTAATCAGGAGTCTCAGGTTCAAATCCCAGTGCTGACATCTATTAGCTGCATGCCCCTACAGGCCTCTCCCAAGACTGATGAGGCTCTGGTCAGGACCAGGCCAGCCCTCTTTCTGCCTTACAACTAGGATCCTACAGGTTCCTTCCTAATCAGTTTCTGCTGGATTGAACTGGAAGGTCTCAGAAGGCAGAGGCTACATCTTCCTCTTCCTTGGGCCCTAGCATCTAGCCCAGCACCATGTCAGACCCAATTGGAGTACTGGCTCAATTCTGGGCAACATATCTGAGGAGGAAGAAGAGAGTAAGCTCCCTGAGGGCAGGGGCTGAGTGATTTTTGTCTTTGTACCCCGCACCCCCCACATACACACCCCAGTTTAGCAGTGTCTGCCCTGTGGGAGAAGCTAAGCTAATAAACACTGAATTGAAAGGAGCTGAGTAAGTTGAACACCCTGCCAGGAGGGCACCCAGCCTGATGAGTGAGGGGACACAAAGAGTCTGGGCCACAGGAAGATGGTTTAAACTGAAGAATATGGGAGTAGCCCCCACCCTCAAGGCCTCAAGGCCACATGTGACCTTCTAGGCCCTCAAGCTCAGCCCTCTGACTGAATCCAAACTTCACAGAACAAATTCCCTTAATAAAAGGATTTGCTCTGTAAAACTTAGACTCAGTTAGACAGCCACACCCAAGGACCTAGAAGGCCTCATGTGGCCTCCAGGCTGTACTGTAGGTTCCACACCCTGATAAGCCTTCAGACTCAGTGAGGGCTGTGGCTTGGATTAGATGGGGGCAAAGTTAGGTGAAGGCAAATTTAGACAGGATACAAGAAAGAGCTTCCTAATAATTACAGATGCTCCAAAGTAGAATGAGCTATCTTTGAAGATAGTGAGTTCCCTATCACTGGAGGGATGCAAACCAAGACCAGATAACCACTTGTTGGGTAATAGGGCACAATGACATAGTGCCTATGTGCCAAGCACTGTGCTAAGTACTTTAAAACAAAACAACTCATTCAATCCTTACTACAACCCTGGGAGGTAGGTACTAGTATTATCCCCATTTTACATTTTACATTTACAAAAAATTTTACAATTGAAGAAACTGAGGCAGACAGAGGTAAAGGGACTTCTCCAGGGTCACAGAGCAAGTAAGTGTTTAGGGCCAGATTTGAACTTAAGTGTTCCTGACTCCAGACCTGGTGCTCCATCCACTGTGGCGCCCTCAGGGGCCTCCTATCAGGCCCTTCCATTGCTGAGCTGTTGAGATAGAGAAGGCAAGGAGTCCAATTCTTGTTCCTCATTTTCCCAGCAGCTCAATTCAAAGCTGTCCTTGTATTAGCCAACACCAGAATTTGGAGCCTGAAGTGCAGAGGCTCCTGAGTTCTCTCAAAACAGCATGGCAATAGCCCAGAGGCTGGATTATTCTGTCTCTCCCCACCGCACCCATCCTCCTGCACCAGTAAAAGTGATCTTCCTAAAGGCCAGTCTGACCATGTCACCCCCTAGTCCAGGGGTGGGGAAGCTGCGGCCTCAAGGCCACATATGGTGGGCCACACTTGAGGACCCAGAGGATCATAGGTGGCCTTGAGGCCGAAGGTTTCCCACCCCTGCCTTAGTTTATAAACTCCAATGGCTCCCTATCCCCTCCAGGATCACACAGAAAATTCTGGTTGTCCTAACCTTCTTAACTTGCCCTCCCCTCACCAGTCTTCTTTTTTTTGGTGAGGCAGTCAGGGTTAAGTGACTTGCCCAGGGTCACACAGCTTGTAAGTGTCTGAGGCCAGATTTGAACTCAGGAAGATCAGTCTTCCTGACTCCAGGCCTGGCGCTGGCTCTGTGGTGCCACCCTGCTGTCCCACCTCAGTGCTTACAGACTCTTAAGCCCAATTCTCTGCCTCTCTTTATGGCCAGCCAGAATCAGTCTCTCCCTAGCAGGGTCCAGAGGAACAAAAGGTGCTCAGTCAACTTTCAAGAGGCAAGGGGTAATGCAGAGGAGAGTGTTCTGGGCTTAAGAATGAGAGAGACCTGAATTTGAATCTGGATCTCAGATGCTTCCTAGTTATGTGACCCTGGGCAAGGCAGTTAACTGCTCTGTGTCTCAGTTTCCTCACCTGTAAGATGGGAATCATAATAATTTCTACCTCACAGGGTTGTTGTGAGGATCAAATGAGTTAACATATGTAAAGCAAAGTTCCTGATGCCAGGTGTCACCCACTTGCCACCTAGCTGCAGGGTCTTTTTTTTTTTTTTTAAAGGGGGAGGCTGGGGTAGGGGGTGGGGATTAGGAAAGGTCTCTGGTAGAAAGGTAACCGCAGCAGAGTCCAGAAGAAATTTTTCCCAAAAACAATAAGGAAGGCAGAGGATGAGATAGATAGCTAGCGATATAGAAACAATGAACATGAGCCTGGACAGGCTTCAGAAGAGAATGGAGGTCAGAAGGGCCTGGCGTGCTATGGTCCAGAGTCAGACTCGGCGGAATGACTTGAACACATCTCGCCTGTATTCCTGGACTTTGAAACCAGGCCTTCTCCGCTGCTTGCTCTTCCTGGTTTTTTCCAGCAACAGCACCTGGTGTGGGTGTCCTGTCCCTGGGTCATATCAGATCACCAGAGAATATCTCTCTCCCTCCTGCAAGGCCTTGCCTCCCCTCATCCCCACCACTGGTGAGGCCCTCTTGCAGCCTCCGAAGAGTGCTGGTGGCTGGTCTTCATTCCCGTCCCGGGGACCTTCTGGACCTCAAACTCATGTCATCCACTCCCTTCACCGTTTACCTTACTTCCCCCCATCTACTTTTCAGCTCCCTTTCCTATGTTGTGCTCCTCATTCTGCCATTCAGTTACTGCAGGAGCTCTGGCATTGGGCACCTGGCACTGTGATGAGAGGGTGGGGGAAGACAGTGCCTACCCTCAGGCCTCTCCCAGACTCAGAGGAAGATAAGACACCCACTGATAAATAAACCCACTGGGAAGAAAACAACAGCTGACTTTTATACAGGGTTCCACCAACTCAGGTTCCCTCTTTCTTTCCACCCTCTCCCCCAGGTAGGTAGGCTGGCATTCTAACTTTATTACACTATCGGAGTAATTCAGTACCTATTTTATAGAGGAGGCTCAGAGAGGAACCCAGGTCATCTCCCCACTCACTATTCAGAGTTCTCCTCCCACAGCCTAACCCTCGGCCTCTGGGTGGGAGGGCATGGTGCCCAGCAGCGGGGGAGATACAAAGTCTAACACACACCACCAGTGTAGTCAGCCTCCAGTCAGGCTGCTTTGGGAGGTGGGGACTGCCCTTCCCCCAGAACAGGAATTTGGAGGCTCAGTCCCCGAGGGCAAGGTGAAGCCCAAGGCAGCTGCTTGGGCCAATTGGTGGCAAGCTGGGCCTCAGAAGCCCTGGCACACCCCAGCTCTCCCTGACCCTCCAGCCCTCTGTGAGGGCTGCCCCTGCCCACCACTCCTCCCCCAGGGCTGTGCAAACCTGTGACTGATATTCTTCAGGCCTAGGGCTCTAGTCACTGCCCAAAGAGGGGACTTGGGACAGGGATGCCAGGGGTATCCAGGCCATTTGGGATGGCACTGAGGGAGCAGACTGGGGTCCAGAGAGGACACTTTCTTGGACAATGTTTAGAATAAGGAGGTAGGAGCTGGAGGAGATACATCAGGCCAGAACATGTAACAACAAGGAATGTCCTTGAGAAAGGCCTTAGGACACAAAATATCTAAGCTGAGAGAGGTAAAACAAGGAATGTAAGAACTGGGAAGGGTTCTTAAGATCGAAAATGTCAGAGCTGGAAGGGATCTGGAAACATGAAGTGTCAGACCTTGGAAGGGCCTTTGAACAGGTCCTTAGAAGGTGACAACTAGCAGGGGCCCTAAAACAGATGTCTGTCAGAGCTGAGAGGCACCTTAGAACAGAGAATGTTAGAGTTGGGAGGGAGCTTAGAACAGAGAATGTCAGAGCTGGGAGAGGCCTTAGAACAGAGAATGTCAGAGCTGGGAGGGAGCTTAGAATGGGAATGTCAGAGCTGGGAGAGGCCTTAGAACAGAGAATGTCAGAGCTGGGAGGGAGCTTAGAATGGGAATGTCAGAGCTGGGAGAGGCCTTAGAACAGAGAATGTCAGAGCTGGGAGGGATCTGGAAACATGAATTGTCAGACCTGGGAAGGGGCCTTAGAACAAGGAATGTGTGGCCAGGGCCTTAGGAAAGACCACATTAGGACACAGAAAGCCATGTCCTCACTGGGAAGGGTACAAATCCTGGGAGCCAGGAGAGGAGGTCCTTGCCACACGGCACAGAACGTGAGAACAGGAGGTTGTCAGAGCCAGAGTGGCCTGAGGGGATACAGAATGTTGGGATACAGTGTTCGAAAGCACAATGCTACATACAGGAAACACTGTTACAACACAGAACGTGCAACGCGAGATCTGGAAGGGCCCTTATCCGCCATCTGGGCCAACCCGTTCACTGGGGTGAGCCCCGAGAGGGGAAGTAGTTTGCTCAAGGTCACACAGCGAAGACCAAGGGCAGAGCAGGCCGACCTCCGGGCTCCTTCCAGGACCCCAGGACCCTGGGGAAGTCTCAGGGAGAGGGTCAGGTCAAAGGAACAGATTTCCAAAGGAAGGGAATGTTAGCGATCAGGTGGCTAGCTAGCGAAGTTCTGTTTCACAGAACAGGAAACTGAGGCCCACGGAGGGGACGGAGCACGACGTTCCCCTCCCCCGGCAGGGGGGCAGACCCTGCCCACACCCGCGGGCGTGGGGGGAGTGTCGCCGCGGGGGCGGGCGCTCTCACCTGCATCCCGGTCCCCTCGCAGGGCGCCCACCTGGATCTCCGCGCCCAGCGCCGCGTCCCGGGAGGCCCAGGCGCGGGCCGGGCTCCAGCCGGGGCCCCGGGGGCCCAGGGGTCGCAGCACTCGGGGGAGCGTCCTCAGCATGGCCGCGGCAGCCACATGGGCAGGGGGGCGGGCAGGGGCAGCGGCCCGAGGACTCCACCTACGGGCAGCTATGCAGCGGCGCACCCAGGCGGGCGCGCCAGGGAGGGAGGGAGGGAGGGAGGGGAGCGTCGGTGGGACCTCTGGACACACCCCTTTGTTTTCCAGAAAAGGAAACCGAGGTCCCCAGAAGGGCAGGGACTTCCCCAAAGGGCCGCCCAGGCCTTGGATCCGGAGGCGCTGCGGCGCTCGCCGGGGTACGAGGTTCGGCGGCTGGCTCTCGGGCCGGCCTCCGCTGCTTAACCGGCTGCACCCTTCCCGGACCTCCACCAGCACGAATTCAGGGCCAGTGAGGGCCTGCCAGAGACGCCAAGGCCGAGAGGGAAGCGATCTCCACCCGCAGGGAGCTTTCCTTCTAAAGAGAAGGCCCCCAAGTCTCTGGCCCTCGTCCGCCACTGTCCCTTGGTTTGTCCCAGCGCATACCTCCAGAATAAACAGAAAGGGGATAAAAGCCCTTCTTGGGATCTCTTGGCCCATGGGGTGGGAAACCTGAGGCCTTGAGGCCACATGTGGCCTTATAGGGCCTTGGGTGCGACCTTTTGACTGAGCCCTGGCCTTATAGGGCCTTGGGTGCAACCTTTTGACTGAGCCCGAGTTTTGTAGAACGAATCCTTTTATTAAGGAGATTTATTCTGTGAAGTTTGAATTCAGTCAAAGGGCCACACCTGAGGACCTAGAGGGCCACATGTGGCCTCAAGGCCGAAGGTTCCCCACCCTCGTCTTGGCCCCTCCTGTTCTAATTCCATTATTCAATCTCAATCCCGTCATAGGAGCACCGGTATTCAAAGCCAGGTTCCTGGACTTTCCCCTGTGACACTATAACCCCATATGGGGGTGGGGTGGAAGGAGTGAACGCCAGGCCTACACATCCTGAGCAGGATAAAGGGCACGTTTTGGCCCCAACTTCCACGGTACAAAATGAATTGATCTTTTCCTCCAAGGCCTGTCTCTGCAACTGCTCCCTCCATCAGGTCTTCCATGATTGGCTCTGCAGATGAAAGAGAGCTTTCCCTCCTCAGGAATTTACTAGTTGTGTGACCCTGGACAAGTCATTTAACTTTTCAGCCTCAGTTTTGTCATCTGTAAAATGAGCTGGAGAAGGAAATGGCAAGCCACTCCAGTATCTTTGCCAAGAAAACCTCAAATGGGGTCACAAAGAGTCGGACGCCACTGAAATCAACTGAACAACAACCTACAGTCACCTGAAGTCATGGGTTGTATCTCTGGCTGCTCTCTGGATACTCTTCTGTGAGCTTCTGGTTTTGTTAGTTCTGGATAGCCCAGAGTATCACTTAGTCAGTAGGGAGATGACTGTAAGATACTGTCCAAACCACCAGATGGCGGTCTAGCTCTTTGAAAGTAACTTACTGCTACCATTCCTGAGAAGGCTCGAGCTTTCTCGGGTGTTGTGAATGGATGATTGAGCTGACATCCCAGGTTCGATAGATTTTTTTTCATTCAATTTTATTTCTTTTTCATGATCAAATTCAGTTCAATAGATTTGAGGCATTATGATCAAAACATCCCCAAAATTAACAAAAATGTGAAACCTTTCTTTTATTAACTAGCTTGAACTCTCCTTTCCCATTCACTGGAATCACCAAGTCAATTAGAACCCCAACACCTCCCCCCCCCACACAACTGCTAGCATTTATGTATCGATTTAAGGTCTGCAAACTGCTTTTACACTTGTTATCTCATTTAACACTCACAACAACTCTGAACCCCAAATTCATAGGACTGAGGATTTCCCCATTAATAACTATGTGATGATTAACGCAATCATAGCGCTGGAAGAAGCTGAAATAAACACAATAAAACAATACTTCCAATAGCAAGCTGCAGCCTGGGCTTATTTGCCACCCCCTCCCATCCGCCAATCCTTCTTCCCAGCTGACTTGAGGGGAAATAAAAGGGTTTTTGTTGAGGTGTTGAATCTTTTCAAGTCATGTAGGACTCTTCATGACCCCATTTGGGGTTTTCTTGGCAAAGATACTGAAGTGGTTTGCCATTTCCTTCTACAGCTCATTTTACAGATTAGGAAACTGAGGTAAATAGTGTTAAGTGATTTGCCCAGGGTCACACTAGTAAGTAGTTTCTGAGGGCAGATTTGAACTCGGGTCTTTCTCACTCCAGGTTCATCACTCTATCCCCTGTACCACCTAGCTGTCTTTTTGAAGGGGGTCAGGCAGGTTTAAAAGTAATGGGCATTTCACTGTTGGGCTCCGAGAAAGCAAGGGGAGAAGGAAACAGAGGTCGAAGGATATGAAGAGGCAATTTTAAAAAGAAAAGAGCCAAGCTATCAACAACCATATGACAAAATGCAATGTGAATATGAGAATGCAAATTATGAGAAATAATGAGAAATGCAAATTAAAACAGCTCTGAGGTTCTGCTTCCTACCCATCAGATTGGGAAAGATGACAAAAAAGGAAAAATGACAATTGATGGAAAAGCTGTGGGAGGATAGGCACATTAATACACTGTTGGAGATGTGAAGTGATCCAAATATTCTGAAAAGCAATTAAGAACTATACAAATACCCTTTGATCCAGCAATACCAATAGTCAATAAAAATATATTAAGCATCTACTATGTGCCAGGCACTCTGCTAAGTGCTGGGAATACAAAGAAAGGAAAAAAAACAGTTTCTGTTCTCAAGAAACTCAGAGTCTAATTTGGGGAGACAATATCTAAACCATTATGCATTTTAAAAAAATAGTATTTTTTCCAGTTACACGTAAAGACAATTTTCCCCATGCATTTTTATGAGATTTTGAGTTCCAAATTTTTCTTCCTCCCTCCATCCCCTTCCCCCTCCCCAAGACAGCAAGCAATCTGATATAGTAAACCATTATGTATTAAGCTATATGTAGGATAAATTTGAAATAATCAAATGATTATTTCCATCAGATATGGAAAGCCATCAGATGATAGCTTTCCCAATCCCCCTTAATTCTTAACATAGCTTAAATGGTTTAATAATGGTTTATATCTTAGTAATGGCTTCAAGTCCCAACTAAAATCCTTACTTTCCTATAGAAGGAAGGAAATCCCTTCTAGTAGAAGGTAGGGATTTTAGTTAGGACTTGAAGGAAGCCAGGAAGGCCAGGAGGAAAAAATGAAGAGGGAGAACTTCCCTGGTATGGGAGACAGTGCTGAGTCAGAAGAGTGAGAGTCTTGTTTGACCAGAAACACAAGGAGACCAAAGTCAGTGCACTGAAGAGTCCCAGATGGGAGGGGGGGGGGATATAAAATGCCAGAAGACTGGAAAGATGTAGAGGGCTCAGAGCCTTGAACACCAAAGAGAGGATTTGATATTTAATCCTGGAGGAATTAAACTATCCTTCCAGTGGAGAGTAGAAGAAGCCCCTAGTGTTTATTGGGTAGGGGATGACATGGTCAGATCAGAGTTTTAGGAAAATCACTTTAGCAGCTGAATAAAAGATGGACTGGAGTGGGAAGAGACTTGTGGCAGATAGACCAACCAGAAAGCATTTTAATTATCCGAGTGTGAGGTGATAAGAGTCTGTGCTAGGGTGGTGGCAATTTCAGAGGAGAGAAAGCACATTCAAGAGATATGCTGAAGGTAAAATCAACAGGCCTTCAAAAGAGATTGAATATGAGGTGAGAGGAAGGAGTCCAGGATGACCCCTAGGTTGTCAGCCTTGGTGACTAGCAGGATAGTGGTAATCAGTCTTCCACTGTAATAGGGATATGTAACCCAAAGAGATCAAAGGAAAAGGGAAAAGACCCACATGCACATCAATATTTACAGCAATTCTTTTTGTTGCAACAAACAATTGGAAACTAAAGGGATGTCAATCAGTTGGAGGACTGGTTGAATAAGATATGGTGTATGAATGTCATGGAATGCTCTTACATCATTAGAAATAACAAAAAGGATAGAGTCAGAGAAAGTTGGGAGGGCTCATATGAACCGATACAGAGGGAAGTGAACAAAACCAAGAGAACAATTTATATAGTAATGGCAATATTGTAAAGACAAATAACTGTGAAAGATTCATGATCCAAGATCAATGACCAATTACAACCCTATAAATTCACAGAGGAAGCACACCTCCCACCTCTCTTCAGAGGTGGGGATAGGATAGCCCAGAAGAAAGATGTGCACTATCAGAGGTGGTCAACGGGTGGGTGTGTTTTGAGTGACTATATTTGTTACGAGGAAGAGTTTTTTACTTGGGGGAGAGGGGAAGAGGAGAAGAGTGGTGAGGGAGGAGGTAGCGAAAAGGACACTTTAACAAAAAAAAAAAAGGAAATTTAGGAGAGAGCCCAGACACACAAGGAAATTTTGCAGCTACCATGTTAAATGTGAACTGTACAACAAATGGAAATAATAACAGCACCTGCCCCACAAGGTGGTTGTCAGGATCAGATGAGATAATGTACATGGAGTGTTCTGCAAACCTTGCCATGCTCTATAAACATTTAAAAGAAAACATGGAGTTGGAATTCCATTTGACAGAACTGACGGCAGTTCCTAGTTTCAGCATTGCTGGGCTTGGTCGTTTTCCACTTTCTTTCCAGTCTACTCCCATCTGGTTCACATTGCATATACCAGCTAGCCTGCAGCTGGAAAGTTTATAGTATATACCCTAAGGAGGCTGAAGAGAGAAAAAAGCCCTATATACATTCAAATATTCAGGGGAGTATTTTTGAGGGTGGCAAAGAGGTGGAAGCAACGTGGATGCCATTGATTGGGGAAATGGCTGAGCCTCTGGTGGCCCATAAATGTATTGGAATATTACTGTACCATAAGCAATGTCAAATGGGAGGAATTAAGAACTTGGGGAGGGATCCTTTCTGAATTACCTCTATGAACTGATGCTGACCTAAGAAAGAACCAGGAAAACAATATACTGGAAC